AGGACAGACCTTAAAATTTTAACAGAAGCTATTTCTTTTGATTTGGATGTTGGGAATAGGGCAACACTTGACAGCATTCAGCATTTACTCCTGACCCTATGTTCAAGGGTCACTCCTGATAGTCTTTAGGGTATCATATATTGTACCAGGGATTGAACTTGAATAGGCCACGTGCCGGAGACTGGGCTGGCCACGTGCAAGGCAGTGCCTTATGCATGCTATAACTTCTCTGGTTTCTACTCCTTTTGATTGCTCAGTAATAAAAAAGTAATGGACTGCTGACTGGCTACACCCAGGATGAACCTCAAAACCAAAAAATGTTGCCATGTCAGACAAGTCACAAGATCCATATGCTGCGGGATTTCCAAAGAAGAAAATTCCTGAAAAGGCAAATGTATGGAGACAGAAAGCAGGTTAGCAGGCACTTGGAGCTGGATGCAAAACACAGCCTGTGCACGGTAGGATGCACTGGGGGCAAGGTGAAAGGAATGTTCCCAAAATAAATACGGTTATGGTGTCTCCGTCCCTCTCAGAGAGGCCGGCAAGCTACCGAGAGTACCTCGCCCACACGGCAGAGCCTGGCAAGCTCCCTGTGGTGTATTCGATATGCCAAGAATAGTAACAATAACGGGTCTCATTCCCCTGACCCTGAAAGAGCCTCCAATATGGCACCACTGGGAAGGATGAGTAAGGGGAGGCTGCTAAAATCTCAGGGCTGGGACAAATGCAGCCATGATTGGCGCCTGCTTGAGCAAATCAACGAACAACGGGATGACAGTGATACAGCGATGGTGTCTCAGGAAAGGTGCTAAAAAACAAATCATTAACCTGGATACTCAAATGGGATAATTTGATATTACTTAAATAACATAAATATAAATATAGGATATATATATATATATATATATATATATATATATATATATATATAGGGCTGGAGCGATAGCACGGCGGTAGGGCGTTTGCCTTACACGCAGCCAACATGGCCAACCTGAGTTCGATTCCTCCGCCCCTCTCCGAGAGTCCGGCAAGCTGCCAAGAGTATCTCGTCCGCATGGCAGAGCCTAGCAAACTACCCATGATGTATTCAATATGCCAAACACAGTAACAAAAAAAAAAAAGTCTCCAATAGAGACATTACTGGGCCCGCTCGAGCAAATCGATGAACAACAGGAGGACAGTGACAGTGACAGGATATATATGCATCTCATATAATATATACATTTCATATATTTTGTATTAATAAAATATGGATCAAGACGACTATTCACAACAATCTGAAAGCTGCATAAACTCATGAGCTAATGAGTGCAGGATGGTTTCAAACCCTACTGCAGAGAGCGTGCTGTTCCAGAGATAACTTTCTCTGTTTTGGTGGCATCAAAAAGTCACATGCTTCTTGGCAGGGAAAAGCATCCTGGGGACAATGTTGGGAACTGAGGGTGGAAGCTTCTCCCTGGAGAACTGTGATGTGGCTCAGTGAGCTATGAAACCGCAGGGAATGAATGCACAGAGAGGCCACTGGCAACTGGTCCCAGAGAAACAAATACTTCCTGTGCACACAGCACACGCGTCAAGGGGTTCAACATCTCCATGCAGTGTGTGCAAATTCAGGGGCTACCGAGGAGGTGGGTCCTCCTTTGAGGTCACTGAGCACCTCTTCCCTCCTTTCCACACTGTGCCTGACAATCTGCAAGGCTATTCTTTCAAAGCCCCAGCCAACGAATTTCCTGGCTGTCTTCATTTGCTGTGGTTTAAGCTTGCCTCTGATCCTTGTCCTGTATCACGGGGATGACGATGAGTGCTAGCTACCTAGCACATAGGTACGGCCAAGTCACACAACGGACTTGATTTGTGTGTGCGTGTGTGTGCGTGTGTATGTGTGTGTGTTTAGAAACACATCTGTGTCTTGCTTGGGTTTAGGGTGCATGATGGGTGGGAGTGAAAATTTCCCCCCCAAAGACAAATCTGGGACATCTACTTGAGCTCTCCTGTCTACAGCAGAAAAGAGCCCAAGTTGTAAATATCCATTTGGCTGACACAAGTGGTAGAGGGGCAGGTCTGGGGGGGGGGGTCCCTATTTGATGATTATGTCTTTTTCTTCACTTGCATTGTTTCTTTCTCATTTCCTCAATATCCAATATTTTTAAAAAATCTAGGGTGTAGCCACAGGGCACAAAAACAAAAGTATGTAATCTGAGGAACTGCGTGTGTGTTTTAATATTTTTTAAAATTATAACACAGTGATTTACCAAGTTGCTCGTAATATAGTTGTTCCAGGCATTCAATGTTCCGACACCAATCCCACCACCAGTGTGACCTTCCCTCCACCAATGCCCCCAGTTTCCCACCCATCACCCCCAGTCTCCCCCCACCCCGCCCTTAGCAGGCACAAATTGACTTCATATTGTTTGTTACAACACAAAGGCGAATGGAATGACCCAAACTTAGATCAATAAAAGTCTATCTAGGTAACTGTATCTCACAATGGTGTTAGTGAAGATTCATTGTCTGAGGATTTACTGGGCTGCCTGGTGCCAGCTGATGGTTTTGTTTCTCACTTGGGGGAAACGGGAGAAAGCGGGCACAGCGTCTCTTGCCAGGCCCTGGGGTGGGCCGACGGTCGGTCCTCACTACGGATTTGATTCCATCCCCCCACACCTGCACTGCCACTTTCTCCTTTGACCCAGAAGGAAGCTGCAACGCAGAAGAAGGGACCTAGCAGCTCCCGGTCAAGGACAGAGCAAGAAGGGAAGCTGAGAGATACGAATCTATTGTTAGTTTTCCCGATTAAAAAAAAAGGTTTTGCTGCCTGGTAGCTTTTGCTAGCTTAGTAAAATAGAGGAAGCTGTTCACCAGGTTATTTATGTTTTGCTCCCTTTCCAAGTCCAAATGGACTTTTCCAGAGATGAAACCACCCACCACTTCTGGGATGAAAAGACAGGGACCAGTTTTTCAAGGGCATCAGATGTTGGTTTGGCTGAATTATCTGGATTAACCCCTTCCTTCCTCAACAGGGCTGGAGCCATAGCACGGTGGGTAGGGCGTTTGCCTTGCACGCGGCCGACCTGGGTTCTATTCCTCCACCCCTCTTGAGAGCCTGGCAAGCTACCAAGAGTATCTTGTCCACATGGCAAAGCCTGGCAAGCTCCCTGTGGCATATTTGATACACTAAAAATAGTAACAACAAGTCTCACAATGGAGACGTTACTGGTACCTGCTCGAGCAAATCGATGAACAATGGGAAGACAGTGCTACAGTGCTTTCTCAACAGACCACCTGATGGATGAGGTGTCCTTGGAATGATAATCACCTCCACTGGCAAACAGCCAGGAGAAGTGGTTGATAGAACGTTGTTCTGGGTCATTACAGGTAACCCCCCATCTCCAAAGCTGATTTGGTTCTATGAGGCCTCATTACGGAAACCAGGAGGGGACACACTATAATGTGAATCTTTATGCGACTGCAGTGAACTTCTGTGAACGCATAAGCAGGGCTGGTTCATTCTGAAAGTGGTCGCTGAGCTTCCATTCTTCAGCAAAGATCCCCAGGCATGAGTGTGCAGTCCCAGTTCCCTGCAGGGCCCCGGGAAATGCAGACTGTGTTGGCGGAGTCCCATGGACACTGTGAGCCTGAGGTCAGCTCAAGGTTTCTCTCTGTCAAACAACTGTTCAAGCCACGCTTCTGGGCTGATTGGGAAAGCCACTAAATTCCGGAGAAAGATGCATCTAGAGAAATGCTATCGCGCATCAAAGCTGATATATAGGATGGAATTTCATAGCAATCTGGTAAGGATGCCTTTTTCTGATGTCTACGAAATCCCATGATCCAAACCCACTTACAACTCGCCATAGCAAAAATTTGATTCTGTTTTAGGCTGCATTGCTAAAGAGGCACCCGAGTCTTGACTATTAGAGTTTCAAACTACATTCTTCCTGCTTACCAAGGAAATTTGCAATTTTTTTTTAACTGCTGAGTTCTCCTAGTCACTTGACAGACAGGCCATGGCTAGTTATATTCCTTCTGTACCTACTGTAGCATGAAAGCCAAACCCAGTGCAGTTAAGTGCTTTGTCCACAGAGGTAGAGTGATTTGAAACGGGTCTGACTTTGATTTATAATCTGAAAGAAATTATATTCATATCTAACCTATATCTATACCCACATCTATATCTATATATCATGGTTTATTATTTTTGGGGGAGGGGGTTAGGGGAGGACAGACCTGGCAGTGCTCAGGGCTTAGTCCTGGTTTGGGGCAACATATAGGTGCTGGGGAATAAATCTGGGCTGTTTGCATAAAAGGTGAGTACCTTAGAGACTGTACTATCTCTCTGGCTCCTGAAAAGATACATTTTTGAGTGACCATAATCAGGTAAAGGTAAAGGCCCTCCCGTTGATCGTCGATTTGCTCGAGCGGGCCCAGTAACGTCTCCATTGGAGACTTTGTTGTTACTGTGTCTGGCATATCCAATACTCTCGGTAGCTTGCCGAGCTCTCCGAGAGGGGCGGAGGAATCGAACTCGGGTCGACCATGTTGGCCGCTTGTAAGGCGAACGCCCTACCCGCTGTGCTATCGTTCCAGCCCTGACCATAATCAGAGAGAAATGAAAACAAGTACCACTTTAAGTGAAAAAAGTACCAGTGCACTGAGCTAGGAATCAGGGATGGGTCAGTCTGCTTCCTTATTCCCATTCTAGCGGGCTATACAGGCTTTGGGGACAGACAAACCAGGCGCAGACAGACTGCTGTGAAGCCCTCAAAATGAGAGGTGAACCTCCTGCCTGATATTCCTCCATGCCCCAACATATTCCATTCATAGATTGTTTATGTACTTATTCTTTCCTTCAATCAACTAAGAAATGACAAAGCACCAATGGCCCTCTGTTTTAGCCCTCCCACACCCCGCCCCAGTAAAGAAATGAGAAGGGATCTATACCCTGATTACGTCATCAAGCTGACATTCTAGGGAAGCGTGAGAAGAGAAAAATAGCCATGCGAGAGTTGTATGAAAAGAGAGAAGGTTAGCATCCTTGACAAGGTTGGAAGAGGATTCTTCTGGCAATGCACATATGGTTAAGGCTCTGTCACCTACCTAGTGGCAGCTAACCAATGTTTTCGAAACTGTGTGACCGAGACCTGACCTTATACAGCTTTGTAACTCTGTATCTCACAGTTACTCAATTAAAAATTTTTTTAAAAAAAGAAGGGAGAAAAAAATCAAATTAACAAAAAACAAATTAACAAACACTGTAGTACTGTAGCACTGTAGCACTGTCCTCCCGTTGTTCATCAATTTGCTCCAGTGGGTCCAGTAATGTCACCATTGTGAGGCTTGCTGTTACTATGTATGGCATATCGAATTCCTCATGGATAGCTTGCCAGGCTTTCCCGTTCAGGCGAGATACTCTTGGTAGCTTGCCAGGCTCTCTGAGATGGGTGGAGGAATTGAACCTGGGAGGAATCGACCGGGTGGGCCGTGCGCAAGGCAAACACCCTACCCGCTGTACTATCGCTCCAGCCCAACAGCAAACAAACAACCGCAACAAAAGAAAATGACTTCACCAAGAAAATAAAAGCAAGAATGAAAAAACAGCCATGTAATATTTTAAGAAATTAAATGGGCAAATGGCAGAGGGAATATACAGGAACTCAAAAGCTAAGGAGATGGGGTTCCCTATTCACAAGCTTGTACAGTGCTGCCTTCCAGGACAAAGGGGAATGTAGGTAGAGCTACAGCAAATGCAAAGTCCCTGGGGTATAAACTAGGATCAGCTGCTGGAGCAAATAGTAGGAGAAAGAGGGTTTTTTTTTTTTTTTTTGCTTTTTTGGGTCGCATCTGGCAATGCACAGGGGTTACTCCTGGCCGCTGCACTCAGGAATTATTCCTAGTGGTGCTCAGGGGACCCTAAGGGATGCTGGGAATTGAATCTAGATTGGCTGCGTGCAAGGCAAACACCCTACCTGCTGTGCTATCACTCCAGCACCGAGAAAGAGTTTCTTTAAAGGCTATGATGGGATCTCGGTGGTAGTCAAGAGATGCATTCCTGGTTCTGGCTAAGATGACTCACTGGTTGAAGAACCAAGTAAGTGCAGGAAAGTGGGCAAACACACAGGCAAAAAACCAACTTGCACAACGCTTAATCTTTAAATATTTTGTTTGTTTAAGCATATTAGTCGGAAAATGTGAACTGATGAGGCAGCCCCAACTGGTCCCTTCACCATTGACGCATTAAGGCTACCATTGCTCAGGATAAACATGGGAGACTCAAATAATAATCGGGGGGGCGGGGTTGGGAATGCACAAAACTTGCCAACAAACTCATTAGAGTGTGTTGAATTCAGTGAAGGGTGAGCAAGAGGATTGGAGCTCACCGGATAAATTTGTTTGCACATGGATTGATCTGCTTGTACCATAATTACTTACAGCTGTTGGACTTTCAGAGTTTATTAGGAACTTAATTTCAAAACTTTCAGGCTGAAAAGATTTTTCTAAGAGGGGAACGTTCGCCACGTGCCGGGAATGGAAGCAGGGAGCTTCTTCCCGCTGAGGCGGTTCTGTATGGTTCACTATTGGTCTCACTATCCCTAACCAAGCGGACTTGCTTGCAATTTTGATTTTTCACACACTTTGCAGAGAGAGCAAAGCCTCTGGATGGAAATGGCATGCACCGTGCAATGGAAAGTTGGATCTAATATGTATTCCAATTACAAAGTCATCTCAGAAAACAGGCTGCCTGCCTGATGTATTCATTTGAAAGCAATTCTTGGGCTAAATTGATCTTTAAATAATCTATCTATATGCTTGTTAATTTAATAGATCAACTGACATCAGGAGAAGACAGGAACTGCTTCATCCTTCACTCTGCCTCGGAGCTGACGACGAGTCCTTTCAGAGCCATTCATCTATTATTCTTTACAAATTAGGAGAAAGGTATAGGGTCCCTGAGGTATAGCTGAGACGATGCCCAACAGCTTCTTCTTACTGATCATCAATCAGAATATTAATACTGTGCCCGGGCCAGCAATTTTGAGCACAGTCTAATTTTTCCCTATTTAAATGAAGACTGTTGTGCTAACTTATGGTGTTATTAAAAGTAAATGAAGTGATTATTTGTACCTAAGCGATTTCCTTCATTTCTAAGACGTTTTCTGATAAGTTCTAAGATTATATAATGAGGACAATTTTAAAAGAAAGTAATAACTCAAAAACCAAAGTATTATCACAGGCTATGATTCCTGTGTGTGTACACTTGCTCACGCATGCATGCATGTACACGCATACACACACATACACACACACACTGTGCACACATATTCTGCCCCTTTGAACCAAATCACTGCATTCAAGTTCTTTTATAATTTGACAGTTTTGTCCTTATTGCCAATAAACCTTACTTTCTAGGTTCCCAAATTCATCTTCAAATGTACATCAGACAACTGTCTATCCACACCTACACCCCTTTTATTCGTTCTTGCTGGAATGCCATTTCTTCCTGAATTGAAATCCCACCCAATTTTCAAGTGCCAACACAACATATCTTAGTAGGAACAGGGCTGTCCCAGTCTATCCCAGGAAAACCAACATACAGACTATTGTTAATACTAATACATTACTTCTCATCAGTTAAAATGTCAACAGCCACTATAATTATAGCAAACACATTGCTCCAAGTTCATGGCTCAGAGCTCTTTTTATGACCGTTTTAATTTTTCACATAGGCCCTAGGACATAGTTGATTTAATTTTCTGACTTTTGCACATGAGCAATGGGAGATCAATCAGAAGTTAAGAACTGGATTTTGGATTCAGCTGGTGTGGCTCTAGATTTCACATCTTCACTCTTAAGCTGTGCCCATGTTAACCTTGCATCTAGAAAGCACTGGAATACAACCAAAGTGCCTGGAACGGTACTTCAAATAAAATTCAGGAAGTGGAGGCCATCTTACTAATATAAGCGATAAATTACAGAAATCATTTACAAGTAATAATAAATATGATAGGATCTATTTATTATTCTCATATTGAATGTCAGTTTGCTTGATGCTCTATAAATCAGCAATCACAACTTTTATGCATGAGTTTGCAACTCACATACAAGGTTGTGCTCTAGAATAGACAATTTGATAAACATGACAGGAATGAATGAATGAATGAATGAAATGAATGACCCAACTAATCCGAGAAGCTTCTGGAAGGCCTCTTCCCTCTCTTCCATGTATCCCTGGGGCATCATGGTAAATCCCACAAAACAATCAGACAAATATTAAACCACTGAAGCATGGATTAAATAAAATTTCCCTTCCATTTCAATGAGCGATTATTTAAAATAAAACCCACAAAGCAATGTTTTTTAAAGTCCACATTCTGAAGTAAAACATGAAAATGATCTGATTAATGCAGATAGCCACTCACCAATTTATATTCTTGAACTCAAGAGAATCATCTAGCTAATTGTATAGGTGATTATTATGCTTTTCACAGAAGTGTGTATCATGCATTTAGAATTTCTAAATTGTGTCTCCAAAAGAATCCTCTTAAATCTAATTATTGTATACTTAGAATTTTCCACAATCAGTTAAAAGACATTTCTTTCTTTAAGGAAAAAAGCTTTTAAATATGTGGAAATCCTCTTGTGAGGAGATGAACTAAACATTAAAAAATTAAGTAAGTAGATATTTTCTTTTGGAAGCTGAGACATACATTAAAATTAACTAGTAAATGGAGGTGGGGGGAAACCTCTCTTTCCCCATATATTTCTTACTACAAACCTAAAAGTTTAGTCTATGATTACAAAAAAAAATTCTAACTAATTCAATAATAACCCAAATTCCTGGAAATCCAATTCTATGGAAATCTGCTGTTTACAAAATCTTGATGAAATATCTTGAACACAATGTCGATGAAGTGACTGAGTTTGAAAAAAGGTTGAAATGCTTAGAAATTTTTACATGGTGAATGATGGGTTCAATGTCAAAAGTTCTCTTTATGGGACCAGAAGAATAGTATAGTGGGTAAGGCATGTCTCATATATAACTGGCCTGAGTTCCATCTCTAGGATACACTATGTCCCCTGATCCTGCCAGGAACTATCCCTGAACACAGTCAGGAGTAATTGAGCCCTGAATACTGATGAATGTGACTCCCAAAACAAACAAAAGAAAGTGATTTTTATGTTTAGTTTACTGAGAATATACTTATGCATGGAAAAGGACATTCACATACAAATAAGAGAAGAAAAGAAAGACTAAAGGAAGGGAGAAAGAAAGGAGAAACTTCATGTGATTCTTGCAATGGTCTCAGATGGAAACAGTAAAAAAAAAATCGCAGCTATAATTCTGTCTGGGGCTGGAGCGATAGCACAGCGGTAGGGCATTTGCCTTGCATGCGGCCCACGCGGCCAACCCGAGTTCGATTCCTCCACTCCTCTCGGAGAGCCTGGAAAGCTACCGAGAGTATCTCGCCCGCACGGCAAAGCCTGGCAAGCTTCCCATGACGTATTCCATATGTCAAACACAGTAACAACAAGTGTCACAATGGAGACGTTACTGGGCCTGCTCGAGAAAATCGATGAACAACGGGATGACAATGACAGTGACAGTGATAATTCTGTCAATTGTCTGATTTTTTTTACTCTCCATTAGTTTTTAAAAAGACAGACTACATAATGTATATATATATATATATGCTTATTTATAAGCATAAAGTGTGTTACTTATAAAGTACATACTTTCATGTATGTGTCAGTAAATGTAGGGGCATGATAAAATAAATTTGAGAATAAAATTCAATAGTTCCTTTCTAGACCACATTTGAGGGGAAAAAAATACTCTCGACGATGACAATGTCAATATTTGGGATATTGACAACGTCACTATTAAGGGATTTCCAAATTGAAACTTCATTTTGTCAGTACTCTAACATTCTTTGACTTGCCCCAAACGAACTATAAGCCTGTCCTTTAAAACTGATGCCTAGGCCTGTATATTCGAGCTAATTTCATAAAATCCCATTCTGGTGCTAATCTCTTTGACTGTGGGTGGGGTGGGGTGGGGGGAATGGAGCAATAACAAATGAATGCTTTCAATGCTTTAGGGAGGATTTCGATATACAGTTCGTTT